CACAGCAGTTCCCTGAAGCTTCACTATTTTACTTCACTAGTCTGTTAGTCATATTCTGTTCTGTTAGTCCTATTCTGTTAAACACGTTAGTTAATATTAATTAAGTGATTAGTTAGTTAGAAAGGGATTAGTTGTAGTCGGTTACAATTAGCTGGCAACACTGATTCTATATAAACAATAAGATGTACATAGTTCGAAAATATAATACAAGGAGAAAAGCTTCCACAAATATCTTCTTCAATTTCTTTCTTCTTTCTCTTATTAGCTGTAATTTGACATGGAATGAAGTATTTTCTCACTGTAATTGATGACTATACTAGGTGGACCTGGACTTTTCTACTAAGGCTGAAGTCTGATGTATTTGAAATCCTTAAAAATTTTATAACCATGGTATTCACTCAATTTGGGAAAAGGATCAAATCCTTTAGGTCTGATAATGGTTTAGAATTCTTTAATAAGTCTTGTGCTGGCTTGTTTCACCAACATGGTATAATACACCAGAGTTCTTGCCCCTACACTCCTCAGCAGAATGGAGTAGTAGAGAGAAAACATAGGCATATCCTAGAAACAGCTAGAGCTATCAGGTTTCAAGGGTCTTTACCACTCAAATGTTGGGGTCATTGTATTGAAGCAGCAGTCTACATTATCAACAGAGTACCCTCTTCCGTATTGCTAAACAAATCACCTTTTGAAATGTTGTATGGTCATGCTCCTTCCCTAGCTCACATGAGAGTAATAGGGTCCTTATGTTATGCCTCCATATTGCCTAAGCAAGATAAATTTGCTCCAAGAGCAATCAGGTCAGTGTTATTAGGATATGGTGTCACTCAGAAAGGGTATAAGTTGTACAACTTGGCTACCAAGTCTGTTTTCATTAGTCGAGATGTGGTGTTCTATGAGGACCAGTTTCCATTCAAACAGCATGTTACAGAGAGCTCTTCAGTTCATGATATTCCACCTCCTGGCTCTTTGGATAGTGCAGCCACTACACCTCTTACTTCTCATCATTTTGATGATTCTCATACTTCAGTTGACTTACCTGTTGAAACTCAGCCGCTAGCTGGAGCTGATCCAGACTTATTGTTGCCAGAAGAGGAGGATGATGAAGAGCATGCTGCAGATATTTTGCCACCAGAGGATGTTGCAGCTGTTTTGCCACCTTCTCCTCCAACTTTGAGAAAATCCACTAGAGCAGCAAAACCTCCAGTATGGTTGCAGGATTATGTGAGTCATAAGCCATCAGGAGCCCACACTTGTATCTATCCCTTAGCAGATGTACTGGAATACAACAACTTGAGTCCTAGATATCAGGCATATGTTGCTCAAATTTCCACTGATTGTGAACCAAAAAATTTCAACGAAGCTGTCAAAGATCCTAGGTGGATAGAAGCTATGCAATCTGAAATCAAAGCTTTAGAGGACAATTCTACTTGGTCCATAATTGATCTACCACCAGGGAAGAAGGCCATTGGATGTAAATGGGTATACAAGATCAAATACAAAGCCACAGGAGAGGTTGAAAGATTCAAAGCTCGATTAGTTGCTAAAGGATATAACCAAAAGGAAGGCCTTGACTACCAAGAGACCTTTTCACCAGTAGTGAAAATGGTAACAGTAAGGGCAGTGGTGTCCATAGCAGCTATGAATAGGTGGGACATTCATCAAATGGATGTTTACAATGCGTTTCTACATGGGGATTTACTTGAAGAAGTGTATATGGAGTTGCCATTGGGATTTTCTGCGAACAAGAGACATCAAGTATGCAAACTATCCAAGTCTTTATATGGACTCAAACAGGCTTCTAGACAGTGGAATATCAAACTCACCACAGCCTTGTTACAATCTGGTTTTGTTCAGAGTCATCTGGACTATTCCTTGTTCACTAAGAAAGTTGATCAGCAGCTTGTTGTGGTCTTGATTTACGTGGATGATTTGTTGATAACTGGGAATGACGCTACACTGATCCAGGAAACAAAGGATACCCTTCAACTCTGTTTCAAGATCAAGGACTTAGGAGACTTGAAATATTTTCTTGGAATTGAGTTTGCTAGAAGCAAAGAGGGCATTCTTATGCATCAGAGAAAGTATGTTGTTGAGCTCATCTATGATATGGGACTTACTGGAGCCAAGCCTGCTCAAGCTCCTTTGGAGGTCAATAGGAAGCTTACTTCTCTTGAATTTGATCAACATATCAACGATGACACTGATCCCCTCTTAAGTGATCCATCTGAGTTCCAGAGGTTGGTGGGGAGACTTTTATACCTGACTATCACTCGACCTGATATTGCTTTTGCAGTTCAGTGTCTTAGTCAATTTATGCATTCTCCCAAAGCTTCTCATATGGATGCAGCAGCTAGAGTGATCAAATATATCAAGCAATCACCTGGCCTTGGAGTGTTTATGTCAGCCTCTGCATCTCCTCAACTTGCTGCTTACTGTGATGCTGATTGGGCTTCTTGTGTTAACACAAGGAGATCAGTTACTGGATACCTAATCAAACTTGGAGATTCTATCATTTCCTGGAAATCAAAGAAACAACCCACCATATCTCGAAGCTCAGCTGAAGCCGAGTATCGAAGTCTTGCTTCTACCGTGGCAGAAGTGGTTTGGTTGTCTGGTTTGCTTGCTGAGTTAGGCGTAGCCACAAATGGTCCTGTTTCCATGTTTTGTGACAGCAAGTCTGCCATTCAAATTGCGACTAATCCCGTCTTTCATGAGCGCACGAAACATATTGACATAGACTGTCATTTCATACGGGAAAAGGTCCAACTTGGTTTGGTGAAGCTGGTTTACATCCATACTACTGAACAACCAGCTGATATTCTTACCAAAGGCCTTGGTATACGTCAACATACATATCTGGTGTCCAAGCTAGGCATGAAGAACATTTTCATAGCTCCTAGCTTGAGGGGGGGGATAGAAGCTATGCAATCTGAAATCAAAGCTTTAGAGGACAATTCTACTTGGTCCATAATTGATCTACCACCAGGGAAGAAGGCCATTGGATGTAAATGGGTATACAAGATCAAATACAAAGCCACAGGAGAGGTTGAAAGATTCAAAGCTCGATTAGTTGCTAAAGGATATAACCAAAAGGAAGGCCTTGACTACCAAGAGACCTTTTCACCAGTAGTGAAAATGGTAACAGTAAGGGCAGTGGTGTCCATAGCAGCTATGAATAGGTGGGACATTCATCAAATGGATGTTTACAATGCGTTTCTACATGGGGATTTACTTGAAGAAGTGTATATGGAGTTGCCATTGGGATTTTCTGCGAACAAGAGACATCAAGTATGCAAACTATCCAAGTCTTTATATGGACTCAAACAGGCTTCTAGACAGTGGAATATCAAACTCACCACAGCCTTGTTACAATCTGGTTTTGTTCAGAGTCATCTGGACTATTCCTTGTTCACTAAGAAAGTTGATCAGCAGCTTGTTGTGGTCTTGATTTACGTGGATGATTTGTTGATAACTGGGAATGACGCTACACTGATCCAGGAAACAAAGGATACCCTTCAACTCTGTTTCAAGATCAAGGACTTAGGAGACTTGAAATATTTTCTTGGAATTGAGTTTGCTAGAAGCAAAGAGGGCATTCTTATGCATCAGAGAAAGTATGTTGTTGAGCTCATCTATGATATGGGACTTACTGGAGCCAAGCCTGCTCAAGCTCCTTTGGAGGTCAATAGGAAGCTTACTTCTCTTGAATTTGATCAACATATCAACGATGACACTGATCCCCTCTTAAGTGATCCATCTGAGTTCCAGAGGTTGGTGGGGAGACTTTTATACCTGACTATCACTCGACCTGATATTGCTTTTGCAGTTCAGTGTCTTAGTCAATTTATGCATTCTCCCAAAGCTTCTCATATGGATGCAGCAGCTAGAGTGATCAAATATATCAAGCAATCACCTGGCCTTGGAGTGTTTATGTCAGCCTCTGCATCTCCTCAACTTGCTGCTTACTGTGATGCTGATTGGGCTTCTTGTGTTAACACAAGGAGATCAGTTACTGGATACCTAATCAAACTTGGAGATTCTATCATTTCCTGGAAATCAAAGAAACAACCCACCATATCTCGAAGCTCAGCTGAAGCCGAGTATCGAAGTCTTGCTTCTACCGTGGCAGAAGTGGTTTGGTTGTCTGGTTTGCTTGCTGAGTTAGGCGTAGCCACAAATGGTCCTGTTTCCATGTTTTGTGACAGCAAGTCTGCCATTCAAATTGCGACTAATCCCGTCTTTCATGAGCGCACGAAACATATTGACATAGACTGTCATTTCATACGGGAAAAGGTCCAACTTGGTTTGGTGAAGCTGGTTTACATCCATACTACTGAACAACCAGCTGATATTCTTACCAAAGGCCTTGGTATACGTCAACATACATATCTGGTGTCCAAGCTAGGCATGAAGAACATTTTCATAGCTCCTAGCTTGAGGGGGGGTGTTGAGGAATTGACCACATGCACAGCAGTTCCCTGAAGCTTCACTATTTTACTTCACTAGTCTGTTAGTCATATTCTGTTCTGTTAGTCCTATTCTGTTAAACACGTTAGTTAATATTAATTAAGTGATTAGTTAGTTAGAAAGGGATTAGTTGTAGTCGGTTACAATTAGCTGGCAACACTGATTCTATATAAACAATAAGATGTACATAGTTCGAAAATATAATACAAGGAGAAAAGCTTCCACAAATATCTTCTTCAATTTCTTTCTTCTTTCTCTTATTAGCTGTAATTTGACACATGTCAACACGTAAGAAAATGAAAGGGTTGAATTCTTGTTTCTAAATTCATGTCAAAATGTCCCATTTTGCTTAGCAAAATCAATTTATGCCTAAAGTTCAAATTGTAAAATCTTTAATTAAGAATAGACGAGTGCTTATTGTTTTCGCTATAAATGAAAGAAATAAAAATAATTTCCTTTTTCCTTTTTCATTTTAGTACTAGTGGCTAGAAAATTGACAAGTAGATACCCATTTGATCCAATGGAAACTCAAAATTAAAATTCATAAATAAATTTAAAAAATCCTTTTGTTAACTAACCAAACCAACCACTCATCCTAACGGATAAAACCATGGCCATGGCCACCACCACCGCCGCCACCATTCCGCTCCTCTCTCCAACCACCCCTTCCCTCCACACAATTACCAGAATACCCTTCATCTCCGCCACCCCAAAATGCAACAGGCCTATCACCAAGCTCCACGTGTCCTCCAACCCAGTCGCTTCATCCTCCACCAGTACATCCAAACCCAATCAAGAATCCATCTTTTTCGACGGCGGAGCTCACTATGGAGACCTCGCAGCTAATCTCCTTTTGGGTTTCACTCTTCTTTGGCTCCCATTAACCCTAGCTTCAGTATTTAGGGCTTTTTACTTGAGGTACAGGTTTACCAATTTGAGGGTTACTGTCATTTCCGGGTTAACGGGTCAAGACCGGAGCGATTTCTCGTATAAAGTGATCAAAGATGTTCAGGTTGTTCCAAGATTTATTGGTGAATGGGGCGATGTGATTATTACATTGAAAGATGGGACTGTTGTGGATTTGAGAAGTGTTCCTAAATTTAGGGAAATTGCTAAGTATTGTCTTTCTATGGTGGATAAAGAGTCGTCTGGGGTTTCGAAGGAGACTAATGCTACTGATGGGCCTAAAGGCTTTTGAGAAACATATATGGTTAGTGTTTTATACTTTGTTTGATTTTCATATAATGTTGTCTCGATAATTAATCTTAGTAGCTCAGTTGGTTGGCTACCTGACTCCTGATCTTTCTTGTTGTTGGTGAGAGTTTGATTTCCTGAACGAAACATTGTTCTCCTTTTTGTAAAGGGTTATGTAAAGTTTTCAATTTGGTATTAATGTATTCAACTGTGACAATGATTTTAGTATATATGTCCAATTGATTTGTATATTGAGTTATATTGGGAACTGTTTCTTTTAGTTGGTGTTGATGGATATTTCTTTTGCCTTTGATTTACTTGTGTCTTATGAGGTACACGAATAATCCATAAATTGTACTGAGCATTAGTAAAACACTGCATGTGTAAAGGGAACACACCCCTGCACGAAGCATCCCGAGTTCATGTAGGGTAATTGCACCCCATTAGGGTGTGAGTGATGTAGGCAGCCTATCTTGACTCAAGTATCAGTGGCTGATTCTATGGTTGGAACGTATCAGACTGTTTTACTGTTGTTCTAAAACTCCCCTTGAGAAAACTGCACGTGTGTTTATGAAAATTATATCCGTGTTATTCGTATAGGGAAGTTGCTCGCAGCAAATCCATGTAGAAATGGTTCATGTCGGGGTCAATGATTTGGAACTTTTTATTCATTGCATAAATACAAAAGTGACTTGATATGAGTGTTTCTTTTTGTTGATCTTAGATATTCAAAAACTATATTATCAAAGTTTAGCTCTCACATTAAGCAGTGAAGTTCACCACCACTATTATGTCATTTTTAATACTATTGGACATTTTTTAGATGTTTTCGATAATCATAGAGAGACGGCATTTTGGATTAAAAACACTTAAAATAAGTCAATCCAAACATGCTCTAAATTTATATTTGTAACTTATGGTCTCTCATCTGCACAAGGGGTGTTTACATTCCATCTTCCTTTCATCTGTCTGTCCTACAGTATAAGTTGAAGAAAAGATATGTTGAATTCTTATGATAAGGATGCTTTTTGAAGAACACTGATCAGTGAAGTTCAATCTTGAAATGGTGAGTCCAATTGTTTTCTGGAAAATTCATAAACTAGATATGAAATGTTTGTTGAGTACATTGGAGTAGTTTCCAATCAGAAGATGCATAATTTGGAGAGCCCTGTCATTATAATGGTTTAAACTTTTTTCAATCTGAGGATGCAAAATTTAAAGAGCCTGTCTTTGTGAATATCTCCTTTTGTGCCATCAAGTACCTAAAGGTCTTATGATTGTAAAGATATGATACTTTCCCTAATACAAGTAATGTCACTGTATCTGAAAAGCAAAGATAATGGAAAGTGGTCGTGAGGTTACAAAGGTCGTAACTAAGTCTTGGCTGATTAGTTTGCCTTTTCTTGGTCTGGTATGGCTAACAGGCAACAGATTTGATGATGGGCCTCAGCATAGAATTGTATTTCAGGTGTTGTGTTTATAAATCGGAGCAGATTCCTCCCTGTTTAACCATAGACACTGCCTGAAATTTGTTCAGATTCTTATTCAACAGTGACAGACTATCAAGGATTTTCATGCCAAAACAAACTGACATGCCACAATAGTTGATCCAAAGTACCATTTTTCATCACTAATTATCTTTTAGAAGTTGATATATCAACTTCATATGAAATTGTGGAGTTATTTCATCGGATAGGTCTAAGTACTTTCCAAATATGCTAAACCTGAAAAACTTTTCTAATTTTTTTCCCTTAAATCAGTGAATGAGTTTTTCATGCCTGCTCAAACAACAATATCAACCTTCAAATCAGGAAGTTGATTGTCCATCACTGTATGTACTAAAAATTTAATAGTCTTGATGATAATATTTGTTGAAGGATTATCAGGAGGAGACTCGACAGTAGAAGATGAATGTACATGACTATCATGAAGGTCTTTTGTTCTTCTTTCATGAAACACAATCTCTCATCCGCAACATCACCAACTTGATCATCATCTCTGACAGCAGGGAAAACTCTAATTTCAAAATCATTTTGATGTTCTTTTTTGCTTGCCTGTTTGAAGAAGAATCGACTTTATTATCTACATTTTCTTCTTCTTCTTATGCAGACCTCTCCCTTATTGATTGTTGTTGGGCCTCATAACCCTCATTCCTATGTCTAGATTTAGAGGCTTCCTCATTATATGTCATTTTGGCATTATCAACAAGCAATTTCAATTTATTAGTGGATGTTGAAGTTGTTGTTTCTGCTTCTTTTTGCTCTTTGGGCTTATGAATTGATTCTTCTAGATTTTCGAAGAGTATTACTTGAATTAATGTTTCTCTTTCTTGAAGTCATTTTGTTTACACACATGAGACAAAACATAAATCATAAATTAATATAACTTATTCTTCAATAAAATAGAAAAACAAACTACTATAGTTGATTAAAGAGTACACAAATTCATATTTTTTTTCAAATAAGTGAGTGTAGCATCCTACAACAATTTAAATAGTTGTTGCAGCAACTTAAGTAGTTGTTGTAACAACTTAAGAAAATAAAACCACTTTATGAACTACTTAAGTTGATGCAACAACTTAAGATTGTAACTTAAAGAATTTATTGCAGCAACTTAAGTAGTTGTTGCCGCAACACTTTAATATTGCAACTTAAGGGATTTTCAGTAGCAACTTAATAAGTTGTTGCATCAACTCAAGGCATTTGGTAAAACAATTTAAGCAGTTATTGCATCAACTACTTAAGTTGTTGCAACTACTTAAGGTTGCAAGTTAATGAATTTATTGCAACAGCTTAAGCGATTGCTTTATCAACTACTTAAGTTGTTGCGACAAATTCAACAACTAATGATTTTTTTATTTTTGTCAACAGCTGAAAGAGTGGCTACAACAAGTAGCTCTTCTGTTGAAAACAATTTTTCTACTCTAATTTTCTCTCCTATTTCATTCATACATTATTTATTTCAGATTTTCATCAATGTCACACTATCACAACAATAAGTACAATGTTTATTAGGGCATAAAATAATAAGATATGTGAAACTCATGCTCTTCTTGTTCTTCTTTTTAAACCATTACACCCTGACTATAAAGAAAACTCAAAACCCTAATTGTTTAAGATTTTCTTTTTACCTATGACGGCGTGAGTAGGAGATCAAGAAGATGAAGAGCAAATCACGAGTCCCAAGCAAAGCAAAAAAAAAAAAATGAAGATGAAGGAGAAATTCTTGAGAAAATTTGAAAAACTTGAAGTAAGAGATGATTGTTTGGTTTTGTTGAGAGAACCGAGAAAGAGACCATTTTGATTTAAGAGGGTCAACTGGGGGTCCAATAGTGGGGATTGAGATGTTTTTGTATTTTATAAAATATTAAGAAGTTTAAGAATTACGTTTCACACCCGTTTAACTTAATCTCCTAATCAGTAGAAGGTTTGACTTGGGCTTAGTCAAATTGTCATATTTTTGTAAGTATAACTTACATAAATCTCATAGTGTACGGAGTAAATTACATTATATTCCTATTTTTTTTACTAATTACAATAATCTCTTAAAATTTGTGTCTTCCGAATACATAAGTCACCATCCGAATACATTAATTCTGATACAAGAAGAATCCTTCTGCTGCGCTAAAAAAGGGAACAAAATCATTTCTATTGCGCTTAAAAAGGAAAAGAAACGTAAATTATATATCAAATCCATAAATCACGCAATTACATTGTTGTCACTGCTAATCAATCTCCCCCAAAGCATAACAAATTCAAGTAATTCAAATTTCAAATTTCTTCTCCCAAATTGTCAAAATCTTTTCAATTTCGATTCAAAATCATTGAAAAATTGAGTTGATACATCATGAATATCTCTATTTTGTTGAGACATTCAAGAATCCGAGAAAGTGAGGTGAGTTATGAACTATACATAAGTGATGGAATAGTTATTGGACAAAATATTTCTTTTGTGAATGTTGAATCAGCCATTGCAGCTTGAAGATCGACGAGTTGAGGAAAATCTGGAGATCCAATACATTACAGAAACGAGCGCTGCTATATCCCTATATATTTTTTTCTCCTTCACCTCTATATTGTTTGAATTGGTTATGTAATTTGTTACATTCAATTATGAGCAATTTTTTTATTCAACCATAGTAAGAGCTTGTGCATCCTTTTCTTAAACCTTTGACACATACGATGACACTAGATGTTGTATAAAAAACAATGTATCTCTCTAGTATTTTTGTCTATTGTATCAATTCACAATGGATACGTTGCAAATCAAGGCCCATGCTTGTCTCTGTAATGTATCGTGTGGTCATTATTAAGTATTGAATACATGTAGTGTTATTTTTATATGAATGTATAATTATCGACGAATGAATATTTAGCAGTAATTTGTATGAATGAATAATGGCTAGTAATGTGTATCTGATACATGTAATATAGATTAGCCATTAATATATATCAGATATATGTGGTATTAACTTGAATGTAAGAATTCTAATCAAGAAAAGGTGCATGATACATTATTAATTATTGTAGCTTATATCTGAGTGATAAATGTTAGGGAAAATTAGTTAAGTAGTCAATATTCCTAACATAATTATTATAAACATCTATAGTTTAAAATAATTGTTAAAAATGTCAAAATATCAATATGTTAGCAAATAAAGTGTATCCTAATATTATTAATTTACCTTCCTTTTATTTCTCAACTTGTGCTCACGTTTGACTTAATTTAACTTCATTATCGTTGAAAAAGAAGAAGAAAAAAACTTCATTGCCCACTTTTCTGTCTCTCAAATTTTTACCCACATTCTCTCCTCTCTCTCACGATTTTTATCTATATTCTCTCACCTCAATTAACTTAAACTTTTCCTTGTTAAATTGAAATTCCTCCATTTTTCTAAGAAATCTCAGTAATCATTCAAAAGATTTTCAACCTTTGATACAGGTAAATACATTGTCATGAAGTGTTTTATTTTTGTATTCTATTGTTCTACGTTTTTGTTTGAAGCTTTTTAGATTTTTGTGTGTTCTTGTGTTTTTCAATCTCCCTATTTTCAGTTAGGATCTCAGATAAGGGGAAAACACAAAAATTGCAATCCAATGTCTGATTCAAAGAGGACTATAAGAAGTATCACATATAATCATCAATTTTTGGGGGGATTTTTTCTCTTTGATTTATGCATTACTCAAGTATTATTCGAAAATGTAGGTTGTGCGACTAAAATGGCTCAAGAGAGGAGATCTAAGTTTCTTCATGATTCTACCCGCATTCAAGTTCAAGATAGCAATGTCAGCAAGGTAAAGACACTAATAATAAAAAAAATGGGTGCAGAAGATTTCGAAAAACTTGTTGAAGATCAAGTTTAGGAAGAACAATTTTCTATTAGTTTGTTTTGTATTTATAGTTTTTTTAGAATTTGGTATTCTTTCTCAATTTGTATTCAAATCAGTATGTATTCTATCAATATTTGTATTCATTCAAAATCTCATATTGCATAGTTTATGAATCGTGTATTTGTTCCTAATTTGTATTCATCCCAAAGGTATGCCAACTAGTTATGTATTTTATTTATAGGAAGAACAACTTTCTATTAGTTTATTTTGTTTTTATAGTTTTTTCTTCAAAATTTTGTATCCTTTCTCAATTCGTATTCAAATCAGTATGTATGCTATTAATATTTGTATTCATTCAAAATATCATGTTGCATAGTTTATGAATCTTTATTTGTTCCTAATTTATATTCATCTCAAAGGTAAGCCAACTAGTTATGTATTTTATTTAAGAATGTTTGCAACAAATACTCTCATATTCTTTTTCAATTTTATATTTCATTCTCACTTTTCCATCATATTATTTTTGTATTTTATACATCATTATACAAAATACAATATAAAAACTAGAACGAATACAAATACAAATAATATACATATTGGAATGAATACGACTTAGGAAAGAAAACAAGATTTTGAAGAGAAAAAATAAATACACAGTGAAAAAAATACATGAATACAAATATGTTTCTTAAATAACTACATATTTATTTGACATACATATTGAAATGAACACAAACTAATAAAGAAATACAAGTTTCATTATACAAAATACAACATGAAAACTAGAATGAATACAAATACAAATGGTATACATATTGGAATGAATACGATTTAAAAAAGGATACAAAATTCTGGAAAATAAAACAAATACACTGTGAGAAAAGTCTGCCAAATAACAGATAAAACTATAGGTGTTCAAATTTCTAAATTAAAAAAATTCAAATTTTAATAGATAAAACTATAACGTATTATCATAAAGTTTCATAACAATAATTAGTTTTGAAATACAAGGCCAAACAATGACCTTTATGAAGAAGGAAGAGATCACCTATTTTAGGTCTCATAATCTTTTTGTAATGGAAGTAATGAGGAATTTCAGCTACTTTACCTAATTTGAAAAAAAATCTCCCTTGATTTTCTCTAGTTTGTTATTTCTTAGTTATATTATTTTAAGTTAAATAAAGAAAAAATACATAAATCAACACCATAACAAACTAAAATATTGACATTTTTAATAAATATTGAAAGTGTGGCTAAGGGGTCCTATTAAATGCTAAAATATTGTTGTTTTGAAAATTTTCTCAAAACGTTATCTTTGATGGTAGTTGTTGTGTGTCTGGTACATTATGTCACATATCATATACATGTTTTAATAGATGTATTATTGTGCTTCAGATAGTTATATAGTTGATACGTGATTTGTGTCCAGTTATGTTTAATAAATGTTGTCTTAGATAATAGCACTGTTTGAATACAAAATGTTGTGTATCTAGTACATTCTGCAGTGTATCA